AAATAAGCAAAACGCAAAAATTAACTACGAAATAACTAATATCTCAATCGATATCAAATCCACCCTACGAGTCAGTTGATGAATATAGGACTAAAAGTTAGGGTAAAAGGGCATTAACCAAGGGTAAAGTAATGCTAAACGTATCGAAAGCTGTGTAGTGCCACCTGGAAAGTAAGAAGAAAATGTATTTAGTACAGGAAATATGTCCAAAGCGAAACTTATTTGAAATCAGCAAAGTAAAGAGAGATAAATATGAAGAATCGATAATATTTCGGTAAAACTTTTCCGACAAACTTTTAGCTTGTCGGAAAACTAAACTCAGTTCAAGATAACAATTTATAGATTAGAGGTAATTTTAACCAGATTTCTACAAGCTGGCGCCCTATCCTCCATGTTCTTCCCAAAAGCACTTGCCATAAGGGCCACAATAATTCTATATTTCTCTCCTAATAACTCGATTCACACGACACTTACGGTAGCAAACTGAATACTCATACACTTTTTCGAAAAAAAATACAACGAAGTATAGAATAAACATGATTATTTAATCATGTACTTGTTCGCCCTTTCGATAATTCATTGCTCTGCTCTTGTTTGATAGTTCGATTTTAGTTTCTTTATTGTTGACATTTTTGYAGAAAGTGCTTGCTTGAAGGGCAATATTTCAATGACAAATTTCCACTTTCAATTTAATGGAAGTCAACAACAACTAAAAGAAAACGCTGCAAACGCCGATCGCACTAATTTAATTTTCAATCAATTTTAAATTTAGAACCATTTGTATTTTACTGAATTTAATTCAGCTCCCGTTATTAAGCCACAACCAGCGCCAAAACTAAAATTAATAGCCAAATTAATTTTGTTTTTWTAAAAATATTTACCAAACAAAACAAAACCGCGAAGAAATCACTTAAAAATGAAACTGTTGCCCAACTTCCGTGCGATGATAGAAACCAACGAAATTTCAACTAATTGGAGCTTAATTTTATGATCTTCTGGTTAAGATCATGTTCTATTTTTTTTTGTTTTTTTTTCAATCTCCTCTGGCTCACTGCTTGCTATCATATTCAAATTTCGCCTTTTAATAGCGAACCAACCCTTCCTTATTAAAGCATATATGAAGTCAACTTATTTTGCAAATTAAATCACCATTTAATGTTTCCTTTTTGCGGACATCCGAAAAAATTTACCACCGTAACTCACTGTGAAAGCTCGCTTATTGTAATTAACTAATTTTATTTTAGAGAAACTTTCTGCAGAAAACAGTAATGACATCACACAAAACCAAGATAAAGTCTCCACGTTTACTAAAGAATTAAAAAATATTAACGATGATATTAACAATTTGGTGAAACAATTAACGATATTTGGAAAGAAACATATAGACGCAGAAGCCGCTGTTGAGCAAGCCAATAGTATATTAGCTGAGATAAAGCACCAAGCTAAGCCAAGAATCACTGATGTAGAAATACACAATCAACTTACCGTAGATTATTGTCAAAGAATTAGTGATGAGGTTAATGGATCATACATAGTATCAAATAATTTGCCCTACAACAAATTAGATGAGCTTAACAGCAAAATAGATGATATAGACATAATCGCTACAGGTGTAAAAAGCAAAACAACGGATGCACAATTTCAAAATGAGAAGAATAAAAAATCTATTAACAGGTTACGAAAAAGTATTGACGAGCTTAACAATTTGAGTACTAATATCGAGGCAAATCTAGGCGAATTTACTAATGAAATGAAGAATATGATTGGTAAACTAGGGGAACTGAGAAACATTATTGCCGCAATGGAAAACTTTGATTTTAACAACTTAACTGAGTTGGATAGAAATATCTACAAATTTGAAGAAGAGAATCCCGCGCTGGAAGAATTAGTACGTACAGCATCAGACCATGCCTCGAAATTGAGGAATATAGTTGATCTCAGAATAGGGTAAGATTTTAAACTGTAATATCCAGGATGTTAGTTTTTTATTAAAAATATATTACAGAGCACTGAATTTCACCAAAGACGAAACTGAAAAAATCAAGACCAGTGGTGCATATAATGAAATTGTTGACTCTATTGCAATCGCAAAAAATACAGCAAATGAGGCTAGAATTATACTGCAAAACGTTTTAGATTTCATGTATCCTCGAGATTCCGATAGTCTATTCGATAAGGCTAATTTGGCACATACTAAATCAGACCGCTTGAAGTACAGAATAGAAAATATGAAAAATATATCTACTAGTAAGTATAAATATACACTGGTAGTAAAAATATATCTACTACAAACTAACTGAAAAATCTTATTTCAAACCCAAATCATTTAAAGCATACCACATAAAATTACTTGCATTATTATAGACCTTAACGCCAAGCGAAAGGATGTGGAGAGCTTCAAAGAAAGCCTAATAGACAGTGGCAAGTTTAACAATGATCTGAATAGGCAGCTACAATACCTCGAGCGCCTGCTCTTGGCAGAAAGTTACACAGTGATCAAACTTCAGGAAACAATTGATAATAGTTCTCGAATTATTGATCAGATGCGGCAAATTGAGAAAACGATATCAGAATTAAATATAGCGGTCCGATATGATCTGTTAAATGTGAAAAATACATTGCTTAAAGCGAGATCTGAAGCGAAAGAAGGTAATATATTGAAACTGCCTTGATAGCACGAACTTAGTGTATTATTTTCGGTTGTAGACATTCAAACGGCTAGCTTTAATGTGAAAGACGCAATAAAGCGAGTATCGGAGTTATTGGATAATGATATCAACAAAATAGACAATTTTCCAAATAAGGATGAACAACACAAACTGGAACGAGTAACATCAAAAATTGAGGAACTCCGAAATAAAATTTTATATGCAAAACAAGCAGCTGAATCAGTAAGTGAAATAGTACCATAGAAGTGGAATATTTTTTACTTTATAAATTAATCACATTTAATTAATTTCCTAGATTAATATCGCAATGGGTTTGTCCAATTGCTCGATGACTTACTCGTCCCCACTTTATCAAGGGGAGCTGTTCAGAAGTCTTGCCATCACGTTTAGATGTGCTAACTGCCAGCTGTTTAAGTGGGAGAGAGGTGGAATCAACATAGCAATTCAAAATGGTAAAGCCATAATGAAATTTATGGTAGATGACATCAGTGACGAAATTTCAACGGATAAGGAAGGAGGATCGAAATTTGAAAAAACTCTATTTGTACAACGGTAACTTTTCCCTAACTTAAATTTAGATCTTCCCTAATTGCAATAAGTACGACATTTTCAGAATTGGCTCCTTACTGCAAATGAAATTCGACAATGACACCACTTGGAAAGCTGCCGATATCGGAAGCCAGGCTTTAATTATAGACCCGACAGATCGGTTTGAAATTGGCGATGGTATGAACATTCAACACAATGCCTATATCTATAGACTCTCTATCAATGATAACAACCTTGGTTTATGGAAATTCAGCCAAACCAATGGAAAATGCACAGGACAACAGAGGTATTCAGTAATAAAATTATACAGTTTTTTAAAACGAAAATTTTATCATCCACGCAAGTGAAAGCCGGTCTCGACGCTGCTTTATTATAAGGGGCATTATTTTAACCCGTGTTTACCGTCAATAGTTAATAGAACAGTTAATAGAATAAGGGTGGGAAGTTTTCAAATTGACACCCGGTATAAACGATAGCCCAAACATGCTTCGTTACAGATTGCCAGAGTGTTGATATTTAATTTAAAAATACAAAATGATAAATTTACGCAAAATGCATGAAGATATTTTAACTAAATTTTCCAGGAATCAATAACTAGAAGAACGCATGTTTTGCAATAAAATATTTTAATTTTCGTCAGTGGTGTGCGTAGATGCAAGCTACCCAAATTGATAATGAAAAATGGCACGCTACTGTATTTTTTTATTATTACAATTTCTTTTCAAATTCCTTGTATTACAAATAAAAGATATATCCGGCATTTTTTTCGTATGGCAAGCGGTTAAGACTTTAAAGTAAGATATGACGTCAATGAGGCAAATTGGCCACATTTAAATGGGAGCTATCGTTTGAATTGGAGTGGATGAAAATTCAGCCCATCTCAAAAAGTTGATGTGGTAGTAAGCGAAGGCTTAATTTTTGAACACTTGTAATTCTGTATTTTTATTGATAGTGAAAGGGGTCTATCTTTTAAAACATTTAATTTTTTTACCTACTTTTGCCACTGAGTTTGTGTATGCGCTACAGACTGCAAGAACGCGCGGACCAGTAAATGATTGATTAATCATTTTAGCAAGAGACTGGCATCAATTTTTAACTGCTCCAATTCAAACGGTGGTTCCCATTTAAATGTAAATGTGTCCAATTTGGCCCACTTACCACAAATCTTACTTCAAAAAAATCAATAACGGCGCAAAATATTGCAAGATATATTATTTATTTGCAATAAAACCAAGAATTTGAAAAATTATGGTAATAGTTAAAAAATAAATACAGTGGCGTACCATTTTTTTCTTTAACCAATTCGGTAGCGTGCTGTTCCCACGATACCGGCAAACATTAATAAAATTATTTTATTGCAAAACTTGCATCTTCTGTAGCTATTGATCCTTCAAAAAGGAATGAAAATTTGGTTAAAATATCGCCGTGCGTTTGGGGAAATTTGTCATTTTCCATTTTTAAATCACATTTCAACACTGTAAATCCGTAACGAAGCATCTTTGGGCTACCGTTTATATAGTAAACTAGGGTTATTTTCGTGGTTAAAATAATGCTCCTTCTTTATGAAACATCTTCCAGTTATTGTCCTTTAATAAAGAATTTAACAGCGAATATACATTGGCATATAGTCCGTGCGATAACAAGGACCATTTCAATTTTTAATCCTACTGGATACTTTTTATATCAAACTGAAGGTTCATCTTTTCTGTCCCTTCGCTTGCGGCTCAAGCAAAGAGAACTTTGCCGAAAGCTCTGAAGGCGTTTGAATAGATAATTGAATGTTCGTTCTTCATGTTGTGAATGTGAGTTCACCCGAATGTGACTTAATATCTTGGATCGTGTTAAAAATGGTAACTAAATGAAATGCCTTCCTTTCAGAGTTAATGCTAAAGAAGTAGAGAAAGCCAGACCATTTTATTCTGGCCGCGGCTACAAGAAATATAATAAAACTGCGGTAGCTGCACCTGCCAAATTCAATTTGAAGTTTTATTTGTCCACTTTTGATGAAAACAGCTTAATTTACTTGGCCCAGGAATCTCAGGTAAGTTCAGTATGGAAGTATAGTATGCATGTTTATTCACATTTGTCAATAATAGTCCATATACAAATTAGAAACTGTGGCGATTATATTATTTAGTTAATTAACTTAAACATTTGGTTTTCTTGATTCATTATTTAAATTAATATGCAGTTATCTTCTTATATATCAAAGATATGTGCGATTTACATCAATTTTAACTGGTACAAAATGCTGTATACAATAAACCATAACTCTCATTTTGCATTTTTATGAAGATAATTTTAGCCTCAGTCTACAAAACATGCGAATGTTGTGAGGTAGCATGGCTGGTTATAGAGGAGCACACGCTGTTCTTGCATGAGTAGAACTCTCATAATTTTTGTACCACGAGAAGACACCCTAGACAGCCTGCGTGTGTCCCGAAGTGTCCTCCATCAGGTTGAACTCTTCGGATTCCTATCTATAGACTAGTCTTGTAAATTACTTTCTTCAACACTTCAGTAACATACACTTATGGCAAAGTTAGCGCACATTATTGAGTCTACATGGAAAGCCAGTTGGGAAACTATACATGCTTGGTTGTATGTTTCTCCAGGTCTTCTCCAAACAGAAGCTCGCCCATCGGAAGATTTTAAGCCCACTCAACCTCAACAGTAAACAAGTCTTTCTACCAGTCATACAAATTCAAATCCACATGTTCTCGAGCAAAATCAAGCTTAGCTTGCGGGTCTGCTTTCGAGATGAATTTTGTGGCATGTTTTGTACTCAATTCGGCTTCTTAAGCCTTCTTACCATTTTGGAAGAAATTGGAACATTTTGGGCATTTAGAATTTAATTTTTTATCTGATGTCCGGTAAGAATCCGATTTCTTAAAGCTTTCAGTCGATCGTCCACTTGGTTTTTGAATCTTGGTTGTCTAGCATCGCAACCCATTTTCTTAAAACACTGAAGACATGGACCAATGGTGGTGTGATACGCAGCCCATGATGGGAATAGTCTTCTTCCACAAAGGTGGCAATTTTTGCCGTATTAGGCTCACTTAAATTCCTTCCTGGATACAATTCAATGCGAATACACTTTAGTTACACACAGAAGTTGGGAAGAAGACAATTGAATCGGAAACAACAGCACTTTTTGAGCACAGTCATTATTGATGTATTTTTGTCTCAGTGTTTTTACTTCCACAAAACGGAGATTTTCGTCAGATGGACCGCCACCTTGACTTTAGTTTTACTGATTTACCTACCAGACATCAAACCTTTCACGTGCGCTCTCTAGCTAACGTATGTGCATACAATAAGAATAAGAGGATCTTTTATATCAATATATCGAGGGCATATAGAACAAGCAATTAGTTAGTAAATTGTTGTAAATATCATCTTCCTTCTTTATTTGCAGCGTCCTTCAGCATTTATTTCGTTGACCATAGAAGACGGTTATTTGCGGTTCGACATTCGACACAACAACGACAAAACAGTGTCGTTAAAGCTGAAGGAGAAATGCAACGATGGACAAACGTACAGTGCGAGTATTGTGATGACCTACGAAAATAGATATCAAATATATAAATTGGGCATTGACGGAAATGAAACAAACCAGGCTCTGGCCCAGGAACTACTCTTGCCATCAGCAGTATTTAGGTAATATAAGGAAAATCAATTCATACGTGATTAATAATTAAAAGGCTTGGTATTTTGAGTCCAAAAGGTGAACAAGTAAATGTTAGAAACTTATTCACATGTTCTGTGATAAAAATAATAAGGTAAATCGATTTAAACTACGTGCGATTGGGCTTCGTTTGGCACATAGAGATTTTTAAATCATTAATTTTTTTGGAGTCCTGTCATAAAAGTCGGGAAACTTTTGCATAATATTTGGAAAAAATCAAGGACCTAGAAACAACCTCATATCTACGGCTGAGGAGAATAACCGGATAACTCGCAGTCCGGTGCAAGAAACGGCTAATACGCGATCCGCTTCAAGAACCGAATAACTCGCAGCGTAGTATGTCAAGTACATATATGTAAAACTATAGTTTTCCATTTACTCATAACTAAGTTATGTACACCATGTCTGTCGAGCCTTGAACTTGATCCGGAAAGAGCTTAGCTACTTCGTGACGTAACAATAAATCATATCGTTAATTGGTGTGTTTTTTTTAAGGATTCGACAAGCCGTTCATTTTGTTGGAGGAGTTTCGCCCACATTAAATACTACCTCAATCAACGTAAACAAGAAATCGTTTTTGGGATTTCTTGACACTAAAAACCAATTCGACAATGAAAGCATATCCACAGGAGTAACACAAAAAGCTGGAGAAGTAATCAGTGCAATGTTTTTAAAAAAATAGACAAATAAAATATATGTATTGCAGCTCCAACTACACAAGGCATGGTTTAATGGAAACGGATCTCTACGTTTAAGTACAGAACTTGAGCCTAGCAGAACTTCTCAAAGACTGAACATGATATCGTTTATTTTGAGACCACTAAATGCTAATGCTGCTATATTGGACGTTGAAAACTTCGGAACGGTAATAAATTAAACATGTATTTAGAGTCTTTCCTGAAACAAAAAAAAACATATTTTTAGGTGACTCTATCAAACCGTTTACTTCAAATCAACCTAAACAATGGAGAACATTATCTAGCGAACAAGACTATGCCTTTAAATATAAACGATTATAACATTGTCTCGTTGATTTTTAAAAGCGATATGATCAGTTTAACTATAAATGAAGAAGATGAGAACATTTACAGATCGAAGACTGATAATTTATTTGAAGGCGATGTAATCAAATTAGTCGTTGGGAGTACTGATGGATTTTACTCTTTATACGGAGGAATTAGTGATATCACTATTAATAATGAGTAAGTATTTGTTTTTCACTGTATAATGTTACGATACGATATTACGATGTTTGGTTCTGGGCAGTGAGGAATCTTCTTCACTTCTTTTACAACTAAGCGATGTATTTGAAGAAAATTATTTTATCGGGACAAGAAAATTACTGACTTTAAAAACCTTTTGAAATTGCGTTTCCCAAGAAGTAGGCGCTCCAGCAATTGGACATGCATTAATACTTAAATATTTTAAATATAACCTACCTACCTACCGATAGTTTGGTTTTTTGTAAGGCGTAAAAACTGAAGATTTTGTAATTGATCAGTAAATTTTTGACGCTTTTTTTACATATTGTATTTTAATGACCCGGAAATGTGCATCAATGACTTTCGCTAACTTTCGTTTTGTTTCTATCTAGAAATATTGTATTCACATCTAAAACGGTCACTGAGTTTTCCAACGTAGAAATGGGCCGCGAGGCACCGTTTATCAGACAAGGTATCACTCTTAAAGGACTCACCATTCCTACCAACATCAATGTGACTAATTCTATGCAAAACACGCAAGGCTGCGCTACTTCAGCGAATTATGTTACCCATCCAACTGCTGTTAGCTTTGGTGACCAACCAGATAGCTATATGAAGATCAAAACCCAATTTTGGAAGAAAGATTTTAAATTGGAATTTGAATTTAGGACACTGGATCCTAATGGATTGCTCTTCATGTCTACAGTAAGTATCAAACATAATACCTGACCTTCACGGCAGAACCTTAAATTTTGATTTGTAGGGAAGCGGTTCTACAAATCAATATAAATTCCTTGAATTAAAAGATGGCTTATTAACATTCCATATAAAAGGAAAAAGGAAAATTCCTAAAAATTGGCCGGTCACTTTTCCAATGAAAGTGGCCGATGGTGTGTGGCATACGTTAAAGTTTGTGAAGAAAGGAAAGAAACTGCAAATGTGGTTGGATGGAAAAGAGAGAAAATCGGTTAGGTTCCCTAAATCGGCTGTCAGGAACGAATTTTTCTTAGGAAATGTACCTCGAGAATACACGCTTAATACAGAACTGGTTAGTGCCAATACAGAAGTTATTTTAGTCGAAAGTCACTGAAAAAAATTGTCAATTTTCCTTTGATTTTTTTCTGAACAAATATTTCTACATTTCGTGTAGAGTATTTCGTATACTAAAGCTACGGTTATTTACAGAAAGAACGCATTTACCCGTTTAGGGGTTGTATCAACAATCTCAAAATAAATGAAGAAACTATATTACCAGGAGCAAAAACCAATGATGTCGTATATAGCAATATACGGCAATGTTTTCCGCAAATTGAGGAAGGGGCTTATTTTGGAGGAGACGCGTATGCAGTATACAGTGAGTGTAATTATTTAGACAGAGTTTATTTATACTGCCTACATCGGCGCGGGCAACACGGTGTATAATAATATTAGATGTATTGTAAGCAGAACTACTTTATAGTTGGCTAAATCGGAAAATTCAGAGATGTTTTAATTTAAGCATCAAAGTCTCGCTGCAAAGAAACTTATAACATGAGGCTAAAAGATCTGTATATGCATAATTAAGGTTATTTCCTGTGTATGCATAATTACATGCGTTCTTAATTAACGTTGAAGTTACGAAAGTTTCTTATGTATCTACAATTAAGTTGTACCTTGACTTGTCAGATAATATATAAAGTGCCCATATAAAAATATTAAAAGTTGAAGATTTTTCCAAAATCCGGTGCTCGATAGTTTATATACGATACTTACCTAATAACAGAGTTTCGATTTAGTTTGGAACACCCTGTATATGGGAAACATGTTAATTATCAAACTAGGCGTCAATGTTAATCGTGTTATAAAACTACTTATTGGAAACCGTTTATTGATCCCGGGTTTATCTAAATATTCTACYCGGTTTSAGATGCGTTTAACAATACGCGATATAGRCCAATAAGATTGKGTTTTCTCCCAACTGTGTTAATTAATTTTGATTCATTGTGCTGTAGTATAGACAAATGAATCACGTAAAATTATAAATTAACATATTGCATTCTTTCCAGGAGAAGACTTTCGAATTAACAAAATATTAGATCTCAGCTTCGACTTCCGCACAGCAGAGCAAAACGGCATTCTTCTAACAGTCTCAAATGAAGGAAATTATCCTGCCCTATCTGTTGAACTTCAAAATGGAGCTGTAGTGATGACTATCGATTTGGGAAACGGTATTCAATCTAATGTAACTAATAATTTGGACTCCGACTTTGCTTTATGTAACAACTTGTGGCACAACGTCAGCGCAATGTATTCTAGTTCTGAATTAACGGTCAATGTTGATGGTATCAGAAAAAGTTGGGTACAAAGTGAAGTTAATTCGGTTATGGATGAAATTGATGCCCCATTGTACATTGGCGGCTTACCAGGTAAGTTGAAATGTAAACAAGAAGGACTTTGTCAGAAAAAATCGCTACACGCAAAAACCGTTAAAAAATTCAAAATTCCAATCATAGAAGCGTCGAACTGTAGATATGTTTTAGTAGAGAAATGGCGTCTGAATTAAAAGGGCGTGAATTAATAATTCGAAATTTTCATCAAAATATACGTGGACCCACTGAAAAATAGCTACAGAACTAAAAGTTCGTAGAATGACCGTATCAAACGTTATTAAGCTATTCAAGCAAACATTAAATGTTAACCGAAATGTCAGTTCGGATAGGAAAAGTGGATTTACGTGACCACAAACAGTGAGGAAAGTTGTCGAGAAATTGCAGAAAAATCTTAAGTTATCCAATCGGAAAATGGTCAATAAAGTAGGTTGCAGTGAGAGTACCATGCGTCGACTCAAAACCAAGATGGGATTCAAGACTTAATAGAACAAAATTCAGCGACATCAGTGCAAGTAAAAATCTGGAAGCAAAAAATGGACCATACACTCGATGATGGAAAGCATTCCAGAGAAAATTTAAAAAATCTGTCAGAACAAATAATTTCAGCTTCATTTTTTTTAAATTACTCGTAATAAAATAGTCTTTAAAACGCTTTCTGCTTTATTATAATTTTGTCAAGGGTTCGTAAGTTATTCAATGTCAAGGTTTTTGTGTGTGGCGATTTTTTCTGACTCGGTGCTTATATATTTGCATTTATTTGGGTATTGGGTCGAAAAATAAAGTATCTAGCAAAGAAAAAAATGGAAAATTGTTTTTAATTCTTGTTGTCAAAGGTGCATTTTCCTATTAATCAGTTGTAAGAGGGGTCATAAGGGCATAATATTTGTGGTAAAGCTCAACAGCAGCATTTTCAATTGTGTGACATGGCACAAATTTTCAGATAATGCCGCAATTGGTACGTTGAAAATCAGAGAGAACTTTAAAGGATGCATGAAAAATCTGAAGATTGAAAATAACTTAAAACCGTGGTCGGCAATGGAAAAGCTAAACAGTGTGCTGCTGAACTCATGTCCTGTTGCACCTTCCACAAGAAGCTGAGGGTTGTGAGTAACAAAACATCCACTCTGATTCAAACCAGGCGTAAATATTAATCGTATTATTTATTATTAAACGGTGCCATTGATTCCAATTATTTATTCGTGTCCTAATTTTGTAAATAATTAAACATAAGAATAATAATGCACTAACGTCCAAGTTAATGAAAATTCATTAGCTCTAATTGAAAATTTATTGTATAAAATATTAAGGCTTATATTAATTACACTGCCATGTTAATGTAAATAATTTATTTTTTGTACAAGCAATGTTTAGATAAGAACTGTTCGTTGTAAGTTTCAATACTTAACAAATGTACAAGCCCTCTGTACATTATACAGGGTGTACCAAATCTTGCTGGATTGATGCGTTTTTATTAATTGTAGAACTCAGCGGATTAATTTTGCAAACTCCTGCCTATTTCCGATTTCAGTATCTGGCACGACAAAAATAATTCGATCCGGTTCTGACTACTTTCCTCGGTTTTCTGGGATTTTAATGAACGTACCTGAAGAAGCTGAGTTACGTGGTCTTGACGAATCATGGTGCATTTATATTCTCCAGCTTCATACAATCACATGTGTATCAAGACTACTTGATAACCGCTGTGCATCTCCGAAACAACCATTGGTTTAACTGAAAACGCTTTCTTTTCCTCCGAACCAAATTTCTTTTAGGGGTTCCTTACACAATCGCAAATATAATTTGTAATTTATTGTTTGTGGTCATGACTATTAGAGTAATAGGTATCAGGCAAAATATCAAACGTTTTGTCCTTTGTAACGGACTGATTCAATCAAAGTAGACTGATTCTATGAAACACGATCAATCAGGTTTTGATGGTCGTTGACACATGAAATATCAAACCTCTTCAGCCGTCGATAAAAGTGTATAAAGTTCTTGGGATTAGCGTTATTGACTGGTGTGGGTAATTCTTGGAGCTGCCTATTTTTCACATAAAACTATTTCTGGAGAGTTAAAAGACACTAACTCATTGAAGGCTTATAAGAACTTTATATCCAYCTCGGGTATGTAGCGGATTTATTACACCTTGTATAACAATTTGTAAGTTTCTTTGTGTAAAATAAATATTTTAAATCAATGTGTGTACTTTTATTSGACCACTTATTGAGCAGRACTCTCAGTGACTGACAAACCGGTATTCCAGATTGGATGATTTACGAATTTATTTCTGTGAAACCTATAGACAGAAGCATGGTTTCTAATCTAAAAATAAATTTACTGTAAAATACTACAGATAYCAATTGCATATACAGATAATTCCTGATCCATTAGACTGAGTTTTTTTTTGAGTTTCCTGAGRTTAGACTCTATGACCAAAAACAACACTCCAGCAGACATGGCGCAACATGGGTTTTAAATTAGCGGGAAAATAATTTTATTTCAATAAGCTAGGTAGTAAGATGCTCTCTAGGGATGCATGCAATGTGGAGCGAACATCATCATATCCCATCATACCGGAGCTAAAACCATTTTTAGATGACTTAAAAAGGTAATCCTGGAAACTTACACTGCCAACTGTATTTTAATTCTTAGAAATTCAACACTGGATGGTCCAGTGTCGGAATCCACCGTTGTCGCATCATCCCGCAATAAGAAACTGAAAAAGTCAAAAGACTTGTCGACCTCTTTAAAACTCCCTAAGTTACCCAAAATTTTGTTGCTTTCTGTCTGTAAGCATCTTGAACAAATCAACGAACAATTTCGAGACACTGATAATGATGAAAAACTGATCGTTTTTAGCAGGTATTCATATAAGCAAACATTCATACCAAAAATTAATTCAATAAAACAATTTTACGGTTTGTTCTCTTTTCTGTCTAGCAGAAAATTAATTAAAACCACTTTTGTGGTCTATTCCTAAATTTTAACTTTATTCAAACAAGTGTCTGTTCTCTCATTTGAAATTAATGTAGGTACAGTAGCATAATTTCATTGCATGCGGAACATTAAATATCACGGGACACTAAAAAGACGGCTGGATTGTTAATAATATATAAAACAGAAAAATTGGAAGAACTTACAAAATATATGCCTAAGCTACCTCTATGAAATAATCTTTTTGGAGACAAACAGTTTTCAAAATCACCTTGCAAATGTAGGTACGCCAACAAAGTGGGTCTTTGATGGTCCAAACCAATTGGGTGTTTTAATGGCAGATAATTAAATTGTGTATTTTGTATTTCTAATTAATTCTTGTTAATACGGTCAGTCTTAAGTAAGCTGCTAGTTTACTATTTAAGCATTCTGATTTGTTACAATATTGTAAGCCATTGTAGAATTTATAGCAGCAACTAAAAATCTAACAAAACACCTGGAGCGGCAACCCTTTTCGGACAAAGCAAACAAAAATGTGCATCTAAAATGCTACGAAAGCCTAAACACATCAGTAAATTGCACTGCAAATGAAAGGATAATTGACCTATAATAAGGTAACCAGTATTTTTGTTAGTTCCCCATTTGCATATAACACTGCCTGTGAGCGCTTAACCATGGATAACATCAGATTTTCTGCTACGGCGGACGGTATTTCTGCTCAAGCGGCTTATAAAGTATTTTTCAATTACGGCTTATCGGTAATATGATGTTTTTATTCTTCTTTGAATCCAATCCATTGGTCTATCTATTGGCTACAACTCAGACACAGAGGCAGTTTGCTACTATATCAAATGCATGCCTCAACTCTAGCTATTTAAGATTGAATTAGTGGTTTAAAAATTATTACCAAAATAATTGTTTTCAAAAATTTATATAATTTCATAATTTTAATAAGCAATCAAGTTCGCTATTTATTTTTAAGTACATTTCAATAGTCTTCCCACTGCGTGACATTCTTTTTAGAATGTAGAAGGAAATGTTCCCCTTAAAGCTTTTAGTGTTAAAGAGGTTCGTATTTTAAAATAATTTTCAAATATAAGAAGTTGATCATAAACGGTATTTTGGTGATGATGTTTGTCGGTAATGGTTTGATTCCATTCGCATCATTCCAGCTCGGCTACCTCAAATATGCGTACCTACTGTTCGAAAAAATCTGCTCTTTTGATGTCGGAAACTGGAAATCAGTCCAGATTTACCAGAATGGATCCGTGGATTTTGTGTGGTTTCTGCAGAAAGCAAATAAATCCAAAAATAACGCAAATGGTTGTTGCGATATGTCTAATAGATCCTTAATTGACTGCGTTTTACGAAGCAAATTACTTTGACTGAAATTTTTAGTCAGTTTAGATAAATGAAATAGAATTATTCGCCTTGTCCGTCTCAGTATATGAACAGAAATTAGTCAGAGTGTTGAGCATTAATAACAAAAATATGTTAACTTTTCTGGTTGGTCGGATTAGCAGAACGGATTATTTATGATTTACAAGTTAAACGGTTGTTCTGCCCAACAATAACTTATTATTTATACAGGGTGTCCCGAAAGGTCCAGCCAACAGATTCAACTCGTCGTTTTAAATTTAAAATCTTGTCTTAAATCTTGTTAATGCACAGGTCTGGTCAGAATTAACTGTTATAATCAGTGCAACCAGAACGGTGTCGACAAATTTTGAAATACAACAAAGCAGTTAGATAGACCCATGTTTTGCTACAAAAACGGTAGTCTAACTTGTTTTTCTGAATATCACTTACATACGACTTTTCAACTAAAATACTTTTTGTAATGATAAAACTGATATTAAATTTAATGGAATAAATAACATATTTTGGTAGTTTATAATACTTAATGTTAGAATAGGTAAGCAATAATAATTTTTAATAGTTTTTATCTGGAGTAGTAACAAACCAATAGGTCTGGGGAAATTATTAGTTTGATCACTACATAAAACCGGCTATATATACAAA